AAATTACTACTGGAGACAAGGAACATGTTCATGGGTACTGACGTAAAGGAGTTTATAAAAACAACATTTGGAGAACATTTAAATTTATGTACATTTTCTCATGATAATATAGAAACTTGTGCTTGTTTTCATTTTGTAATTCAACAATATAGAGTTAGAAAATTAATTTCATCATATATTGAAATTTTTAAATAAAGAGAAAACCAAAAAAAAAAAATTTCTATTGTTTTGAATTTGTTTTCGAGGGTGGGTCTATCATCAGCTGTTGCATTTTTTAACATCTGTTTTCTAAGTATAATACAACAAGTTATATCTACCAAACTTTAGTTTAAGATAAACATTCAGACTATTACGTTGAAAAAAAAAAAGTTTTTCTTAAAAATTGAAGAGTTCTTAAGGGAGCATGGAAGTGAGATCTTCAAGGAACATGCTACGAAATTGAAATCATTTCATACATTTTTTAAAGATGTAGAAGCCACCCCACTAATTCATTCAAAGTATGGAGAACACCTATCATCCTGTGCATGGGCATATGATGATTGTAAAGTTGGACCTGACACTTGCAGGTGTATGCATGTTGAAAAGAGAGAAGAAGACGCCTTAAAATTGATGGAAAGATACATTCATTTATTTAAAAGACTCAATGTAAACTAATTTAAGACGAATATATAGAAATAAAAACGTATTTGACTAAACAAACGATCTCATTTGTTTTTGTGTATAAATGTGTATATTCTGTTAGGAACCACCACCACAAGCACCGCCACCACCACCATCCCTCTTACACTCCTACGCTTACTTTCCCATCTAATGCTCGCTAAAGAGGGGAGAGGTTACCGAACTCACGCTTGTTTCACACCACAAAAGTATGCGGTCTAATATCTCTCAAACCAACACCTTTTGTCCACAAGACCGTAGGCAGGTTACACTAACAGGTGTCACCTACAACCCTAATTGAATCAACAAAACGCCCACGCATAACAAAACAACGTTTTTGTTACACTCCCACGCTCACTTTCCCATCTAATGCTCGCTAAAGAGGGGGAGGTTACCGAACTCACGCTTGTTTCACACCACAAAAGTATGCGGTCTAATATCCCTCAAACCAACACCTTTTGACCACAAGACCGTAGGCAGGTTACACTAACAGGTGTCACCTACAACCCTAATTGAATCAACAAAACGCCCACGCATAACGCCTTCTAACCCAAGTTAGAAGCAACATAGTGACCTGTGTGCAACCATTGCACTCCACAAAATCCCACGCATGACAAGACACCCCTATCACACACGCAAGCCAGGTGTCACCTACAACCCTAATTGACTCAACAAAACGCCCACGCATAACGCGTTCTAACCCAAGTTAGAAGCAACATAGTGACCTGTGTGCAACCATTGCACTCCACAAAATCCCACGCATGACAAAACACCCCTATCACACACGCAAGCCAGGTGTCACCTACAACCCTAATTGACTCAACAAAACGCCCACGCATAACGCGTTCTAACCCAAGTTAGAAGCAACATAGTGACCTGTGTGCAACCATTGCACTCCACAAAATCCCACGCATGACAAAACACCCCTATCACACACGCACCTTTAGCGTGAGAAAACGACAAGACAAAACAAGACATATCAAAACACCACTCTCTCACACTCCTACACACCACTTTCTAACCTCATTAAGTGACCTGTGTGCAACCATGCTCATCTAACTAGGGTCAGCAACACCCCCCTTTTTGACTTAATTATGCTAATTAGGTCATTAGAACACCTGTGTGCAACCATGCGTGACTAATTAGGGTCACCCCCACCTCCTTTTTTGACATGATTTATTACTTAGTGAGCCAGCTCCCGTATTAATCTACTACTATCCCCTTTTAGTTTTAGGGTCTGGGGGATTTGTTTGTAGGTTTGCATAAATCACCATTTTGTTTTAGGGTCTTGGGGAATATATGGGTTAATTTAAAAGCTCGATATAGAAAACTCGTTAGTTTAGCAGGAAACCCAAAAAATAGGTTAAGGTTTTTAGTTTTTAAATCAATTAATGCTATAGATACTTGGTATATGTCGCTAAAAAGGTAATTTGATATGCTAAACACGCTGCCATTGCTTAATTTGTCTAAATACAATTGATTTAATGTTAAAGCTAAATTTTTTTAAATCCTCTTTTTGCCTATTTCTCAAATTTGGTTCGAACAATTTCTTTTTAAAATTCAAAATATAGTGCCCTTAAGATTCCTCAGCTTTCCATCTACAACACTTTTTGCCCTAATAATTACCGTTTGAAAGTTATTGAGAGATGAAAAGTGCAGCCCGTATGAAATACATTTCATGCCTGCCTTGACTGCACAGATCTATGCATCATTCATTTGATGGTGCAGCGGTCCCACGCTAGTGCCGTTGACCAAAACGGACGAGTTATGCAGCGGGCTATGCGGCTGATACGGAGTGCAAGGTCAGCGCTCTGCCCATAACGTTACCGTCAATTCTGCTCGTCGCTGCCGACGTCGGGCCTTTTGCGCAGTTTTCTTTGAGAATATTTAGGTAAGAGTTAATTAGGTTTAAATAGACTCCGAAAGATTCCAATAGCACACTGCATGCCTAATTCCAGTATTGCAGCTTTTATAGTTTCCGAGATCACAGCGTTCATACGGACAAACGGACAGACGGATATGGCTAGATCAAATTTGCTAGTGATCGTGATCAAGAATATATATGTATACTTTATAGGTTCGAAGACGCTTTCTTTTACCTGTTACATACTTTCCGATGAATCTATTATACCTATTATACCTATTATACCTATTATACCTTTTACTCTACGAGTAACAAGTATAAAAACAAGTCGATGGCCTCGACTGTTACCCGTTACTAAGCTTAAGGGAATGCGAGAGGGATGGAGATATGGTTTTTTCAGTAACACACCTGGTCAATAGCGCCACCTATCTTCTTCTTCTATAACGCCACTTGACTTACAGCGCCAACTGGCCTATAGCGCCCCTAGCCCCTGGCGTATTAGTGAAAACAGCTTATTTGCTACATGTGGTGTGCAATCTCGATTGAATTGCACAATATTGATTATTATTTGGTTATAACTTTTTAATGAAGGTCCAATTTCCAAAATTTTTTGACGTGTAGAAAGGAATTTATAAAAAGGCAAACGCTTTTGAAAATTTTTACAAAACATAAAAAAATGTGTGTGCTGGACGGGTTTTAGTGTTAGAGTTGTGGGCGTAAGAGTGGTCTTGGCACCCTGCCAAGTTACATGCCAATTCCCAACACTCTAGCTCTTATAGTTTCCGAGATCTCTGGGTTCATACGGACAGACGGTCAATCAGACAATTGGACAGACGGACATGGCTAGATCGACTTGGCTAGTGATCGTGATCAATATACTTAATGTACTATATATTCTATGGGGTTGGAAACGCTTGCTTCTTCATGTTACATACTTTCTGACGAATCTAGTGTACCCTTTTACTCTACGAGTAACGGGTAGTATAAATAGATAATATAAGATAACCAAATCAAAATAAAAACCGCATCGCATTTTCATTCTTCAATATATTGCTTTTTTTCTTTTAATGTGCACATTGATTACAAATCGAGCCAGTATTAAACTTTAGGCTTGAAATACTCAACCGTTAGTTACTAGGTTGACTTGATTTGCTGAGTAGCGGTTGTATGATTGTGGAGGCACTCGACAAATGCGTTCTTGATTTTCGTTTAGTGTGTAGATGTGATGCAACGTCTTTTTTGTTAATATGATAAGTAAATACACTCCATATCTCTGCCTGCAGCCCATGCTAAATTCAGACTTTGACTTTAATGTCAAATAACTCTGATGTTAAATATGGATGCGAACACGTTTGTGGGCTTGTAAGATATATATTGGCTTAGCGTTTTTCTTAACATGCCCATTTAATTGAATGAACCCCAAAAACGTAAGTCGCAGAAATCTGCATACTGCTAAGAAGTCCTTATTATCTTTCACAATTTTGTGCGTGCTCTCAATGTATACTTGTGTATGTGGACTGTCCCTATTGAGGCACAAGGTTAAACTTTGTTTACTTTCTGTATGTATGAACGTATGTTGAAATGCACATGCACATAAATAAAAAAAAGGTTTTATTTTTCGCACGGCTGGGGGAAATTTACCTTGTTTTGCTGAAGAAATCACCAGTTCTTTGCAACTTAGATCGAAGGATCACGAATAGTTTCCAGTTGCCAATTTATGAATTCGCTTTCACACGGTGCAGGTCTTCTGGAAGCTAAGAACCCAAATGCTGGAAGCTGCTGGTACGTTGCTGGAAGCTGATGGCAAGTTGATGGAAGCTGATGGTAGGGTTTTGAATGGGGATAGTGGCTTGCTGGAAGCTGGTGGTCGGTTTTTTTTTAAAGAAGTCTAAATAAAAACTGTGAGCTTGTCGAGATGACAGTTCTGTAAAGAGACCTTTTTTTGGTTCCCTTGAAATGTCTTCTTTATTTATTTATACATTTTGATATATACTAGATTTGAGGTCGGCGCCCGGTTTGGAACGTCGGAAATTTGGTTGTGAACGATGTTTTAAGATGCAGTTGGAATAAAAAATAAAAATATTTTTTCAGAGAGAAAGCTGTGCTAGGATGGAAATTAGAAAATACTTAAGGATTATAATATACCTGTTACATATGTCCTCTGATTAAATATTCAACAACAGTTTAATTAAAACTAACTTTAAAAGGTGTCCCATTAGCCACGTGTATTTAAAACTGGGAAGTTTAGCAGGTTCAAGAGAAAATCTTAGATAAGTCAGATAAGGATTTGAAAGGTTTATCAAACAATCTCCAGGGAAATAAACTGTCTCCAATGTGCTTCGAAGAAGTCCTTGATGTTGACCCGGGAATGATCCATAAGGAAAAATTAAAACAAGGAAGAATGATATAGTCGAGTTCCCCACTATCATATACCCGTTACTCAGCTTAGTAACTTTTTTTTTTTTTTTTTTTTTTTTTTAAAACACACGTTTATTTAGCGCGCTCAGTTTAAAATTAGTAATGTGTTGAATGTGTTACAGAGTATTCGGATTTCGGTTTTGTATGAATTAACAAACAAATTTAGAGGCAATTGACTGACTACGAGCTAAAATTGGCCACACTTGCGGAAAGTTAGAAAGTACACGTAGAAAAATTCTTAACAGCAACGAGACATTGAGGCTGGGCTATACCGCTTTTCCGATGGATGGTTGATGATTGACCTTGGGAACGGAGGGCCGTGGGTTTTACCCATACTCTTCTCACTGCTGGGCAATGGGTGCCGCGGTGGGCGTGGCCTTGGGCGGGCTGGAGGTGGCGGGATCCGCGTTCACGAACTCAATGGAGGCGGAGTTGATGCAGTAGCGCTTGCGGGTCGGTTTCGGACCATCCTTGAAGACGTGACCCATGTGGGCGTTGCAGCGGGCGCAGCGGACCTCGGTGCGTATGCGTTCTGGTATGCTGGCGTCGCGGTGCAGGGTGACCTTGCCCTTGTCGAGGACGTCGTTGAAGGCCGGCCATCCGCATCCCGAGTCGTATTTGGTGTCCGAGCTAAACAGATCCTGGTGGCACACGATGCACTGGTACACGCCCTTTTCGTAGTGCTTGTTGTAGCAACCTGTGAAGGGACGCTCGGTGCCCGCCTCCTGGGTAACCTGATACTGCATCGGGGTCAGGCGCTTGCGCAGCTCCTCCTCCCGTAACCTTCTCGCTCTTGTTGTCCATAGTCGTTAGCCCGGAATACTTCTTTGCCGGATTGTCGTTGTCTTGACGTGAATCTTTTATTTTGGGGTTTTCCGAGTGCAACAATAGAAAAATCAGCCAAGTGTGTCGCGGGCAATTGAAGACAATGAATTAATTTCGAGCAGAGGCTGCAAAAAAGCGATTAATTGCGAAATTTCGAGTGCGCCGCAGTGCGTGGCGAGAAAGTGCAAACATTTTTTGGCTAATTTCGGTTGACAACTGCACTTGGCACTGGCTGGTTATTTAATCAACAAGAGGAAATTGCGAGGAAAAGCGGTGGAAAGTCAATGTTCTGTCTACTGCGCCCACGCGAACTAGATTGAAAATAAATTTTCTTTTTGCTTTTTATCTTTTCTACAATTTTAAATTTAACATTTTTCATTTATATCTTCGGTTGTCACGATATTGACAATGTTTTTGCTAGATACGGGCATAAAATCTTTTATTATTATTTAGTGGTCCGACTTTAGCAATTATCGGCCTGCAGGAAGTGAAACTTATTTTTGCTTATCAAAAATAAAATATCTTTTAAAATTGTGGGCCCCACAGTTCTGCGCGGCTTGGGGACTTTCCAGTGGGCGTGGCACCCTGCTGAAGTACTCTTCCGATGCGCAAAAATCTCGCGTTTATAGTTTTCATGATCTTACCGTTCGTACTGACGATTTTTTGAGGCTTGTGGGCGTATTGTGGGTGTTAGAGTGGGCTTGGTCAATTGATTAATTTGGGAACTGACGAGTGCAGTACACTCCAATTAACACTTTTATTCCGAAGCCTTGCACGCAGCGCAAGTTTGTTACGCAAATGTACCACGCTGAATGTGCCGAAACTGAACAAGGAAGAACGCTATAGTCGAGTACCTCGACTCCTCGACTATCAGATACCCGATACTCAATTTAAGAAACCATAAGCAAACAGCACAGCGAAATTGAAATGCACCACCTACCCGCGATCTCAATATGTGGTTATGATTTACGCGCTATGGACATTAGAGTGGGCGTGGCAATCTTTTTTTGGGTCAATGGATAGGTATTGACGAGGCTAAAACATTTCAGTTAAGATTTTTTATCTAGCATGAAAATTGTGGGAGCCACAGACTTAGGCGGCTTAGGGGCATATTCGGAATCTAAATCTCAATTCTCTATCTTATATAGTTTCCGAGATATCCGCGTTCACATTTACGATTTTTTTTAATTTGTGGTCGGTTTCTTTTATTTTATTATTTTATTCTAGCATCAAAACAGTAGGAGCCACAGTTTCGGGCGGTTTGTGGGCGTTAGAGTGGGCGTGGCACCCTGCTGAAACAAACTTGCGCTACGCAGGAATTTTAGGAATCTGCATGCCTAATCCCAACATTGTAGCTTGTATAGTTTCCGAGATCTCAGCGTTCATACGGACAGACGGAAATGGCTAGATCGACTCGGCTAGTGATCCTGATCAAGAATATATATACTTTATGTGGTCGGAAACGCTTCCTTCTGCCTGTTACATACTTTCCGACGAATCTAGTATACCCTTTTACTCTACGATTGACGGGTTTAATAATGTTATGTTGCTTCGTTAATTATTTTAAGTTCAGCCGCCTGTGGCGCTAAAGAAGAAGAAGATAGGTGGCGCTATCCGGTAGGTGTTTTAGTGAAAAAAGCAGATTTGCTTTAAGCATATCTCCATCCCTCTCGCACTCCCTTAAGCTGAGTAACGGGTATTTAATAGTTGAGGCCATCGACTATAGCGTTTTCTTTTGTTTTAAGAGTACAGTTACATTTGAATTGCATTATTGTCAAATTTCAACATTTCTTAAAGAAAAAATCAATAATTTGGATAAAGTTTTAGTGTGTATTTATCAGTTCGTCACTTTACCCTACAACTATTAGAAGTGAAAAATTTTTGGCTTACGCCAAGAGCTGTAGTACTTAACTCCGCTGGAATTTTACCATCGAACTTTTACAGGAATATGCTCAATAGATGTCGGCAACTTTCTGCTTTTAAACTTTTAAAATATATTAATTTTTGGAAAAGTGGCATTCAAAAAACGAGTCGTTCATACCCTACACTCCCCTACACTAAAAGTTAATAAAAAATATATGTCCAAAATAAATCGGTCTTTTCGTAAACCAAAAAATTGGCTATCGAAGGATACAAAAACACATTAAGTTATGGCATTTAGGTGGCAGCCCTGTTCCTTAGATATGATGAGCTAGTAGGCCATTCGTTTTCCTGTGACAGCTGAATTATTGCAATCGGAACTTTTCGACAACGTCAAGCTCTAGCGCCTTTCTATAAAAAGTAAAAAAATCTATACAATTTCGGCATATTCAGTTAGCCACAGCCATAGCCCCAAAGAAACGCATTTCGATGATCGCACCGGGGAGCGTGGTACCGGTAGTGCAGACGACCGAGACCGCGTCCCGGCGTTCAGTTGGCACCCAAACGAATGTCCTGGCAATGGGTCCGTCGAAGCTCAAGAAGATGAATGCCTTACAGATACCGCCGTCCCAACATTTGGCCACGCACCTGATGCCGGCGGTCAATCCGCAGGCAGAACCGTTGGCCGCTTCCATCATGATATGTAAACAACCGGCGGCTTGCCCACCGTTTGTTCCCGATTTGAATGAGAAGGCCTGCCAGGCGGTGGACGACGGTACTCTGGATTCAGCCGACCGTGTGATCATCCCGAATAACGGCGAGCAACCGATTGAATATCTGAAGTCCCTGATGACCAATCGAAGCGAAAATGCCGAACACTGGGATCGTAAACGTCTGGAAACTCTGATGACCCTAATCAACGACAATCCACCGCCGAATTGGCTTCTGGCGTCCCAAATGTGGCTGAAGGTCGACCAACTGGAGGAGCGTATAGAGGTCTGCGATCAGAGGGAACTGCTCAATGCCAAGAAACCTAAGATGGACGAGGAGCTGGCCAATGGTCAATACGGGGGGCAGAACGGGCAGCAGGGTGAGCAGCAGAACGAAGAGGTTCATCAGCCTTCACCAAAGACTTAGGAAATCGAGCCATATGTTCTATGCATAATTGTTCATATTACATCAGCAAAATAATATATAACCCATCCATTAAATGTAAAATGAGCTTATTTACGGACTCTCTTGTATTGTCTTAAAGGAAGCGCAAGGGAGATGGAGAATGCAAGCAGCAAAGCGACTTTTTTCGAGATTTCAGGGAGCCACCTAGCGGTGATGACTTGAACAATTTTTAGGTAAATGGGCAAACAAAACTAAATCCCATTTTCACCTTACAAAATCTTTAAGACAGGGGGGAACAGTCGGACTTAAGCGTTAATAGCGTTTGTGGGTGTACCAAAGTTTTTCTAGGTCAATCGATAGGCACTCTTTTTCAAAATCGTACAGCTTATTACCTACACAGGAATATGCCTGTGGCACAGGCGTGCCAAATGAGAAAAATTTAGAAAGTGAATTTATTTAGTAGATCGTATAGTACATTTTCGTCACGAAAGTTGAGATTATTACTTTTGTATGTTGAAAGTGCGAATGTCTCTAGTTTTTTACTTCCTTAAGAGGTGTTTTTCAAGATTTTGAAAAGTGAAGCCCGTTACTCGTGGAGTAAAAGGGTATACTAGGTTATCGTTGGGGCAAAATGAACTTGCGCTGCTCAAGAAGCCCAAGAATATACATACGTGCCAAGACCCAACGTTCTAGCCCTTATAGTTTCCGAGATCTCAGCGTACGGACGGACCGACAGACGGAAATGGAAAGATCGACTTAACTAGTAATCCTGATCAGGAATATATATTATTTATAGTGTAGCGCTTGCTTAAGCAGAAGTGGCTCATAGAGACACAGGGGTGGCGCCATCTAGCATTCGTGCGAAGAAATGTTCTGTAGCAGGTTTCGGAATAAGTGAGAGCAACAGGGGCAAATGTCAGGCTTTCTCGGGTCTAGTTTTTCACCTCATACTCCGGGGTTTGGGTTACCGCCTGAATTTTGGCATCAGAGTCGGTCTTTTCCGTTTTGGCAGCCTAGGCGAGCAGAAGTGAAAATTTCTCTACAAGTGTTTAATCCGCAAAGCTTAGCGCGAGTGACTAAGGTCGGCCTGTTCATCTTGCTGGGCCACCGGAAAAAAGGAGATATATTTAGGAGATTAACTACGGATTAGGCTACCAGCCGTCCTCAAAAGGTTCCTGCGCGGCCGCCGTGAATTCGAGAGAGATCTGTGGAGGTCATCTCCTATTATATTTGGAGCCGGAGAAGCTGCTCGAAAAACTAGGTCGAGAAGCGGAAAAGAGGCCCAGTTCAGGGCCCCGCCAACAGCATTGCCTTTGGGGCGATGGAAGAAGACCCGACACACATAACCATTTTCGTTTGCTAAGTTACAAATCAAAAACTTTTGCTTGGGGTTCGTTCTTCGTTTGAGCGAGAGCCAAAGGTAGTTGTTCGATCGCGCTGCAAGACGTTTGGTCCGTCGCGGAACCGCGGCGGATATTTTCTTCGTAGAGCCGTGAATTTGGCGTAAAATGCCGGAAAACTAAGATAAAATTCAAAGGGGGAAATCGGAAAAGTTAAGCCCCCCAACTTGCACCAAATTCTTACGTTCCCCAACACTAAAAATTTAAAATTATGTTTAACGGCCGCTGCTCCCGAATACCGAACTTGGGTATTAACGTTTAAAAATGTGTAAAAAATCGATTTACCAACGGATTGTAGTGATCAACTGCGCATGTTCTCCGTTAAGGTTCAGCCTTCAAGAAAACAACATAAAACTAATTTCAGTTTTTAGGCGTGTATTTTTAAAGAAGCCAATTATGCCAGCGTTTTTGAATTTTTTTCAACATTTTCAACTTTGACGAAGGGTAGCTTCTAAACTTATGAATGGAACTCAATTATGTGTATTAAAAAGTTAAAGGGCATTCTATTACCTGTAAAATGAGTCTTTGATGACCGAATTCGGTTTATCAGAACTCGAGTTAGAAAATAGTTAGAAAGTGCGAAAAACGCTTTTAACACTTTATACAAAATTGGTACCATAGAAAAAATTTTAAGTGCTCTTTTCTTAATCAGGGATATGTACCTTACGGGAAAACAAAGGTTTCCTTGAAGGCATATTTCATTATTTTTTTTTGTAAACTGGTGTTTTTTGTAAACTGGTGTTAGCTTTGAATTGTACTCTTAGAATTACTAATAGGAAGGCAGGCAAGACCTTTGGGCATGTTACCCATAATAGCTGAACCTAAGATGCATTGTAAGGAAGCTAGGGCAGAAGCTAACGAGAA